TTTCATTATATTAATATAGTATTACACATACAAAACTCTGGCCTTTTCAAATCCAACAAATATTAAATGCAATAAAAATATAAGTTTTATAGCAAATACACAAAAAAATATATAACACTGCCTTAATTGTATTAAGAGTTTAAAAAAAAGTCAATCAATTTATAATAAAAATCATAAAAAATATGAAAACATAAAATAATAAATTTTCTCATGGTCATGTACCACGGGGTAAATTCTCATATATATGTACAAAACCTGAAATATAAATACTGCAATTGATACATTATTCCCGCTGGACTTCGAATAATATGCTAAACCAACTCTAATTAGAACAGATTAAACTATAACCGATTAGAATTCTATATAAGAAAGACACGTTAAATGATGGACCCGTGGTGTACCACGGGGTAAAATCTAGTGTTATTTCAAAATCCATGTATTTTGATTTGACAAATAATAAGGATTCACAAATTCTATGTAGATTTACAAATCAATAAACCAACAATTACCCCTAAATTAGTTTTTGGCTTTTGATTCTAAAAAACCAAAAAAAAATGATTATACTAAAAGTAGATTTCTTTAAATTTAGGGAAACCAGATTTTGTGAGATTTTCCCAATTTCTTCATAATATCTAAAAACCATTTTTTCAGCTTTCTAACAATATTACGTGACTGTTTCTTAGGCATTGAATGGCAGCAGTTTTTAGAACAAATTTTGGGTTTTGATTCTAAAAAACTAAAAAAATTGCCATTCATGATTTTGCTAAACCCAGATTCCCTTAAATTTAGGAAAATCAGATTCTATGAGATTTTACCATTTCTTTCATAGAATCTAAAAACCATTTTTTCAGCTTTCTAACAAATTAGGTCACTTTTTCTTATTGATTATTATTATTATTATTTTTTTTGGTAAATTATATATTTTTTTTCTTTCAAATAAAAATCATAGAAGAACCAAAAACCAAGCAAATTATTATTCAAGATTTTGCAAAAACTAAAATCTACAGCAAAAATCAAAAACTAAAAAACCAAAAACCAAAAGCCAAAAAACAAAAACTAAAAGCTAAAACCACAAAACATTCATGGCAAATTGAGCTAAAATCCGATCCGAACCGAATTTTAATTTGGGTCTATTCCGTGAGATTTTTTGAAAACCGAATTTCATCTAAACCGAAAAACCCGACAAGCCAAGCCAAAGAAAATATAACGTTTAGATCTGATTTAGTTTATATTCATTAGGCCAGATCAGAACAAACATAGTACATAGACTGATATAGCTAGATCTTCAATAGAAAAAAATGGAAAGAACCTACTGAGAGAGAATAATAATCTTCATCTTCAACGATTCACCACTCAATAAAGAGTGAGGAACAAACAAAAAATTGTCTTGAGGGGTTTCAGAGCTCAGTTCAAGAACCATCTTCACTTCTGGTGACTTATAAGTAAGAGTGTGTCCATCCATTGAGTAGTAGAGACAATATGAGAGCTTCCCTAGTTCTGGAGCAGATGGTGCAATGCATCTAATAGCCACATGCACACCATGCGGCTCATTGAAGCATTGCAGTGCAAACAGTAGTCTCTTCTTTGATTCCATAAGAAAAAGAATCTTATCTGTAGCTATGTTCATCTGAACATCTACTGAACCACCGGATTCAAAGGACAGAGATTTGGATTCGTGACAGTGGATATCAACAAAGTGATTGTAGATGTCATTGTATGGTCCAGTGAAATAGCAGTCCGGTGCAGGGCAGGCACATTGAGAGAAACTGCATACCTTTTCATGAATTGATTTTTTACCATAAGACTCATTTTTGGTGCATCCAAACGTAGCATTTCGGCATGGGACAAAGACTGATTCGAGAACACTCTCCATCGCGCTGCAACGTTTGTGGCCAACCGGTGAATCACATGTATGGCACTTATTACTCAGTTGAGGACAGCAAGAGGAGCAAGCCAAGTGCCCATTATCACACTGAAATGCAATACAAATGAAAAAACAATTAATGAAGATAACATGAGTATGGGAAAGAAAAAACAGATTAGCATGCTAATCGCATTGTCGCAATAAATAAACCAAAATGAAAGCTTAGGAATATATCTGTTACTAATTAATATAGAAGAGATATTCATTGATAAAACATTTGATAGTTCATGACATATATACTCATCTTGCCAAGTTATACACACATTTCAATAGAGAGACTACAATTTAGGGAGAAGAAACCTGAAAGATAGGAATCGTCAGTGCCTGGGAGCAAATGGGACAATCAAGAATATCCAGACCTAGCAGCATCCCTGAGCGTGTCTCGCCCTCTGATGTGGAACTAGGTTGTATCATTATCGAGACATTGTTGCTCACTTCTTCTCTGTCGCAGGGGGATTCGCAAACTGAGGTGCTCTTCACGTGAGTAGATTTATGTCTGTGTCTGTTTTGTTCATCATTGCCTCCACTGTTACTTTCAGGCCTCAATGGACAATACAGTAGATGGCGCCTCAAATGTGATGTTCCATAAAGCCTTTCTATTATGTAAGTCCTACTACAGTGGATGCAACTACCCCTCTTTTTGCCATCTTCCCCAACTCCCACTGATACAAACTCTTTCCAGACATCAGATTTTAAGCGTTGGTTGGAATCAAAGATAGTTTGATCCGGTTGAATCTCACTTTCTAGTAGTACTTGAGGTTCTTCGACAGCCGAATCAAAGATAGTTTGATTTGGTTGACTCTCACTTTGTACTAGTACTTGAGTTTCTTCATCAACCTCCTCTTTTATTTCCATACGTTCATTCTCAGCATTAAGTGTTGCAATTAGTTCCTGTGACTGGAAATCCATTACTCTGCATAAACAGAAAACGAAAAACTATGAAATCGTTATCTGTTTAATGGCTATACAACAATGTAGAAGAAACTCAAATTCATAGATGCTTAAAGTGATTTGCTTCGTAGCATGATCCCATTCTCAGCAGAAGAGCAAACACAAAAAGAAGACTGCAGAAAAATTAAGTACTTATCATAACTGGAGGTAATCAAGACACAAGTACACAATTACAGAACAATCATGAATAACCCCAAATACATATTGTAAGAGATGAACATAGCCTAAGCAAAAGAAAAGTACACAACCACAGAACAATCATATAGATCAAAGTCAGATTTATTACAGAACAATGATAGATAAAAGGGGAAGAAGAATAAAAGAGAAAAGTTTGAATCTTTTACATACAACAATCGTTTTCATAGCCTCACAACTCTCAAAACAGATTAATCATAAATAATAACATACCAAAAGAGAAAAAGTTTGAATCTTTTTACATACAACAATCGTTTTTAGTGTCACAACTCACAAGTCATATTCACAACAAAGAATCAAGCAGATTAATTACAAAACAATCATAGACAATAACACATATACCAAATTAAAGAGCTAATGGGAAAACAAGAAAACAGAGAAAAGTTTAAACCTTTTAATATGCAACAATCGTTTTCATAGTGTCTCAACTCCTACCAGCAAAATCAGATTACTCACAGAAGAATCATATACCATAAAAAGCTAAGCAATTCAGATTTGATTAGAGAATGTAAAAGGAAACGAGCAAAAAGGATAAAGTTTCAACCTTTACATACAAAATCGTTATCAAAGTTAATTTACAAACTCGATCACAATCCATATTCACAGCAAAGAATCAAGCTGTGTTAAAGTCTCAAACAAATTAGTAGATCAAAACCATGTCATGCACACATACATTGCACTACATATATAAGTAGTCAAGAAATTAACATTATCTACAAGAAAAAAATTGGAGCTCTGTACAACCAAGAACTACGATGCAAAATCTATGTTTGAATTGGTACCGTTATATCACTTGAACAGAAGAAACGAGTAATGGGTTTTCTTCAGACTAAGCTGCAAGGCCAAAGAGTCAGAAGAATTGAGGAAGAGACGAGAGGAAGAAGGAGAGATTCATGGTTTTTTTTTGGACAAGACAACGTTACATCTTCTGGTCTAGGGCTTATGTATGGGACTAAAACTCAGCGTTTCAGTGAAGCAGACATGTGGTTAAAAACAAAACATGTGGTGTGTGGGGTAAAACCGTAAAAGTCAAAAAGTTATGGAATTTTGTGGTACGAGGAAGAAGTATCACAACAGAAGTACACTTCCTAGTAACATACGAAGTACATGTTCAAACATAAGTACATGTTTTTTTTCTTCTAAAGGATATTTATTAAACCAACGGCCTTACAAACCGGGTTAACCGGCAAACATAAATAACCGGTACCCACAAACTTTGTTTGAGCATATTTTCCAGCAAAATAACAACCAGAATCATCTCCACACATTATTACTGAACAAAGAAACTATTAAACCAAAAAAGAGATTAAGAATGCAATCTAACTTCAGTGGTTCTTCTTTCCACCACTGTATCTTTCCCAAGAACAAAAGCATAAAAGAAGTCGCCGGAAAACTAGCAACCACATGAGGTAAAGCTTCTGAACTCTTGTCATCAGTTGATAAGAGAGTAGACTTCGACAATTGAAACTTTGGCTTCCTAGAATGGCAAGACGGACCTCAAATGAGGTAATTGAAACCGTCAAGAACGCCGGGCCATTATAGTCGAACAAATCGACGAAAATACGGTTGAAAGGAGCCAAGCAACCTAGAACTCGCCCATATCAAGATTTTGATTCTTGTGGATGAGACTAAATCAGTTGCCCAATCGAAACACCAAACACTTACCTCGTTGTAGATGGTGGTGGAGCGGATCGAGATTAGGCCATGGGAAATTCCAGCTAGGAAAGGAAGAAGAAACTGAGATCAAAGTGTTTCCCCAATCAGTTCGGTGAAACAACAAAAACGGCAACGAAATAGCCGTGAGGAAAGCCGGATACACCGGACGGCGAGATAAGACAACAAGATAGAACAGCAAGACCGGACTACATATGAAATCATAAGCCGGCACGGCATGACCATAAACCCGATCGAAATCTTTTTCTCTGAAAAGTTTTTTAGAGAGAGAAGAGAGAAAGAAGTCGACCGACATAAGTACATGTTCAAACATATCATAATGGTCGGTCACAACTTTTTCTTCTATAATGAGCTTCAAACTATATATGTACATTTTCTTCTAAAAGTGGCTACGACTTTTTCTTCTATAATGATATTTCCTAAGTGATCGATTCATTATTTAGCAGAAAACGTTACCACCAATACTAGATCTTCAAATTATGTATGTACATTCCAAATAAACCTAAGAAATGTGATATATGAACCAAGCTTGTTCTCATGCCACGCAAATTCTCATTACGAGACAACAAATAGGAAGGAGAAGCAACATGAATATATGTATTGGGACTGTTCATTCAATCTCACTTCCTGCTTCACCCTAAATCTCGTTTTAGTAAGCTATTGGTTAAGTTTACCACTTTCAAATAATATTAGATTCAAATGCTAGATAGATTAACTGCTAGATTAGCCATTAATGCGCACGAGTTCTATGCAATATACTAGCTTCAAATCCAAGAACATGGATTGATATAAGATTAAAGGTCATACATAAGAGATAGGTATTTTCATGAAACCTTAATAAATAAATAAAATAAAAGACAAATAGCAAATGATAACACCATTTTATTCTTCCCCACTAGCTTCTTACTTACTTCAACTTGAAATTTTTTCGATCGTCCACATGTACACCAAGGTTTTGCATAGGACATTGACTTCTTTGGTAACCTTTTACTTGCGACAAACGAACTCATCAATACGAGTATAGCACAAGTAGGGCATTTGTTCATCAGTTTCTTATTGCATGTAGAGCAAACACACATGTCCAAAAGTAACACTAAAATGCAAAAGCAAAAAGGTTTCTGCTATTTAAATCTGTATATTGCTTTATAGTTCAACTGCTCATGAGAGTGGTCTTTCTAGAAAAAAATCAACCAAGAAGCGTAGACATATAATAGTTCAACATATGGATACGAGTTCTGGTGAAAACAAAGATAAGAAACGAAACCTTGTAGAAGAATCTAGTCAATACAACAGAGCGAGCAGAGTGAAGAGGTTCCTTATCAAGAAGCGTTGCGGAGTTGTTCTTACGGTCGTTCTCATCGTTTGAGGATTCACGAGATGAGTTTGATTTCCACTCGTTGGGGTTTGAATCCCATGCAGCCATTTCAATGAAATGTTATAACTTGTGAGGAGGCTCACTGGTACAATAAGCTTGGCTCCAATTTCCAAAACATTTTTGCATGCATGCGGTGGATTTAATATTAAAATCATTTAATGGGAAATTGCTACATAAATTGGGTGAAGATTTCCCAAGATTCTTTTTAAAAGTTAAAATATACTTTTGTTTTGTCTACTAATTTGACTAGATGTGTTCAATTTTAAATAAACAAAACAATTATATTCTAATGGGAAAAACATTTCTAATGGGAAACACATATTTTTCAAAAAGAGAAAAAACAAATCCAAAAATTGAAATGTGATTAAGATGATATTCCCTCTATTCTATTATGTACTCCCTTCGTTTTAAAATAAGTGTCCTTTTGTATTTTCATTGCAGATGTTTGGTGAATTTTTCAGCTTTATCCTTACTAATTTAATGTATTAACCAATAGAAAATATTATATAATGTATTAATAAAGGGTAAAACAGAAAATTTAATGGTTTTCTTAAATTGTGTGAAAAGCATAGAATGATATTATTTTGAAATGGAGGGAGTAAAAGTTTTTGACTAAAAACACTAAGTTTAAGAAACAATAAAAATATTATATCATTTAGTAAAATACAACCAATAGAAATAATACTGCAGAATTTAAACAGTCAAAATCATTTAATTAATATAACAAGTGCATTGAAATTTGAGAAAAATCTTATAAAATGGTACAGAGAAAAAAACCTTAAAATTTTCTAGTAAAAAAAAACCTTAAAAACCTTATAAAATAGGATAGAGGGAGTAATATTTTTCTTCACATAGTAATTGGTTCAGTTTGGTTAACGGTTAATTTTATTATGTTATTATGCTAAAAAGTGTATATAAAAACTCGGTTTGATTGTCGGTTTAGGTGTTTGGCTTGGTTCAAGATCTTTTCCTATGTAAATCTTAAGGCTAATGTTTCCTCTTGATAATGTTTCCCTTAACGGTTAATTGGGTTCTAATATTATGCTACATTTTTTTTTATAGAAACTAGGTTTGATTACCAGTTTGGGTAGCGGTTTTATGAATTAAATTTGAGAATAATTTTAGCAAAAATAAAAACGAAAAATTGATATGTGGCATCTCACTTAACAAAACATATACATGTGACATCTCACACATCTAAATTTGTATTTGTGGCATTTGTATCATCATGGCTTATCAACATCATGTCAGAATGTTGAATTCGGTAAAATTTGGTAGTTCATGTATGTAGACTAATGTAGTTTATTTGAAGAAAAAAAGACTTTATTCAGTTTGAAATTGGTATTGTACCAAATTTGGTTTAATATACATGTTAAAATATGGCATTTCCTATCCATTATAACACTGAAATGTAAAACGAATATGTTTTCCAAGTAAACTAGTATTGAAAGGAATAGAGAAAAATGTAGCAACTAAATTATTTTTTTCAGACTTTGTTGCTAAATATTAACTTACATAGTTTTTGTTTATATTGAAAATTAAATAAACTATATTTAACTCAAATTAATTTGGTTTAATTGAGTTTTAGTTTAATTTAGTTCACTTGGTTTTGGTTATATTTGGTTTGAATTAGATCAATTAGATTGTAAACCAAAAAGATGGTTTTAAAATCATAAGCTTCATATCTAAAATGAATAATAATGATTTCACATCAAAAATAAGTTTGGGTGTGCATCAAAAAGAAAAGAGAAAAAGAATAGTTGTGGACATCCTCTGTACATTTAATTAAACTGGACTTAGACTTTTATGGACGTGGGTCATATGTTGTGTGAGATTACACATAAGAAAATAATGTTTACATGAACAGGCATATGAGCAAAATCATGTCTAATTAGTAAACTATTTATTAGTTTCATTATTTATTAGCAAACTATCATATAGTAATGAACTAGATCATTATCTGTGTACTACAACAATGGGGAAAATATTAACGTCTTTTTACTAACTAGCTTTGAACTCCTAAAGTATTCAAGATTTCGATTGAGCCTTCTAGGTAACCAATTGTTACTCATCATATAATGTTGATATTATATATTTCAACTTTCATCTATACATTATAATTTATTGCATTATATAACTTAATACATTTCTTTAAACATTATAATTCAAGATTTCGATTGAGCCTTTTAGGTAACCAATTGTTATTTGTAATTTTAACCCTGTCTACTATAATTATTTAAAATATATTCATTTACAAAAAAATCAGTTAAAGTTATTTGTAATTTTAATGGTTAATATGTTAATCATTTCTCATATTGTGTAAAAATATAAATATAAACTATTTTAAAATATATAATTTTTTACAATATTTCAATAGGTTATTTTATTATATAAAAATTATGCATTTAAAATTTTTATGAAATTAAATATAAATATTCACAAACTGACTCGCTACTCAGTTAGAATTTTGGTTGAATATTATATTATTATGTGGGAATTTTCGACTCATAACAATTTTTAGATAAAATAAAACAATTTTTATACGTTTTAAAAAATTCAAATCATAATATATGCGAAAATATATATTTATTATTATAGAGATGATAAGATGAATTACTTGTTTCATAAAAATAATCATATAAAGACAAGAGGTGAAATATAATGATCAATGAAATAGTAAGTTAGATATCAAATCTTGTACAATGTTTGTTTTTGATTGGATATTCATTTTTAAAAAATGATAATAATGTATTACCTGTTATAAGAGAAATTAAAATGAGTTGTTAATTTGATAAAAATGGTATTGTACATTTTATACACTACCATTAAATACTTCTACCATTACAAAACAACAATGTTTTCGTTGTTCGTTTTGGATTTTATTAATCCTGCTACTTGTATTAAGAGAATTTTTGAGAATTACCCCTTTTGCTGTATCTCTTTTTAAAAATACCACTCTTTTCTATTCATTTTCAAAAATACCTCTTTTCAAATATGCAAAATACCCCTTTTGGTGTATCCCTTTTTAAAAATATCCCTCTTTTCTATTCATTTTCAAAAATACCCCTTTTCAAATATGAAAAATTATAAACTTTTATATGGTTGATAAGGTACATCAAGATCATCATTATTACTGGGAGACTAAATCCAAATATTTAGAAGGTTTTAAAAGGTTCTAAACGGCATTTATATGGTTTTTATAAGGTTTTTAAAAGGTTTACACAGTTTTTATAAGCTTTTTATATGATTTTTAAAAGGTATTTATACGGTACTTATGAAATGTATATATAAATTTACACACATGTAAAGATAATTTGTGCCTGTAAATATAAGTTTATACATATTTTTTTGATAAATTTCAAAATTTATTGTGACTTTTTGATAAAATTAGAAAGAGGGGTATTTTTAAAAAGTGGTATTGGAAAAGAGGTATTTTTGAAATTCCCCCTTGTATTAATGCGAATGTGACTAAACTGATTATGGTCCAACTTGGTATCTTAACCCGGTTCTTCCGGTTTGATGGCTATACTCTCAAAATCAAGTCATGTATCTTCAAATAATACACATTTATCTCGTGGTACACCACGGGTCCATCATTTAATATATTTGTTTGATTGATCATTTTCGTAGTTGGTTTATATAGTCTAATTTTATACGTGTTTATATCTTTTTAATTTTATATAATTTTATGATTTTGTATAATAAGTAGACTCATAGATATATGTGGTCAATCCGCGATACACTTCCCACAAAAAAAAAACTCGCGGTACACCGAGGGACGATTTGTTGTAAATAAAAATTTATATTTTAACTTAACCCGTAAAAAAAATTACTATAGAAAACCCGTAAGAAAAATATAATCATATTTATATAAACTCAAACCTGTTCAATCATATTTATTTACAATATTATTATATTTTAAAATATTTTTATAGTTAAAAGATTAATAGTATTTTAAATTTTTGTTGAGTTTAAATATTTTTAATATTTTAAATATTCTATAAAACTTAAATAAAATATTATAATTTTCAGCTTTTAAAAGTTTTAATATTTATCATATTTTAAACTTTTTTAAAGATTAAATTTTATAATATTTTAAACTTTTTAAAAGTTTTATTTTTCTTAAATAAATAACCGGATTAGACTGAATAATTTTTTTAATTTGGATACCTGAGAAATCAAAATTCATGTTCATTAGTAGTTGTGAACATATTAGAGCATGTCCAGTGGGCATTGCTAGATGGGTTGCTTATTAATATTGTGTGGTAAAAATAAATACAAAAAAAAAAGAGCCCATTATATCGAGCATCGTTTCTTCTCCGGGAAGCGGAAGCAACAATTAAGAAACGATACGTGTCAATGTTTAATTGGAAGTTGAGTAAATAAAAATAATAATTTTTTTCTTTATTTTTTTTCTTTTCTCTCGACAGATTTCTCTGTCCTCTCTCTCAAAATCGACGAAGCTGAAGAACACGAGGCTCCGATGATTGATCCGAACCCAGAAGATTCCGAAATCGACGCCTACTCCGGCAGTTTTCTAACCGTGGCACCAGATCAGAGATAGGAGACTAGACACACCCAAATACTTATTCTTCTTCTTATTCTTCCTATTTACATCTCCTTATAATGCTTGTTGATGGAGACACTTCATCGTTTCTTCCCTCCAAACCTCTAGTCTAAATATATAATAGGAGAGTTCTCTCCCTCTAAAGCTGTCCACATCAACATTTTTTCTAATTTTTGTGTCAAGCCCAACAAATCATCTAAACCCTTATATTTTGTTCATCATTCTATTTTCTTTCGGCCTGTTATTTTGTAAGTTAAGCCCCAACACTTTTACGGAAAATGGACTTTTTCATACCTGGACTATCTAGGTAAGTTAATTTCATATAGTTGACTTGTCATTGTGTTAGATCATACCTGGACTTATTGTAAATTTGAATTTAGTACCTCGAGATTTCATTTCGTGCTGAATAATACAAAAACGTGTTAAATATGTAACGCTGTTAACTCTCCGTCGATGTGGATTCGTATTTCTTCTTCATTAATATATATGTTTCGTATTTCTATTTATTAAAATAATATATAGTGTTTCATATTTCTTCTTCATTAATATTAATGATCATTCAACACTAGTGTTTCGTATTAATATATAGTGTTTCGTATATAGTGAAAAACACTATAATATGTTTCGTATTTCTATTTTGTATTTCCTCTTCATTAATATATAGTGTTTTGTATTTCTTCTTCATTAATATATAGTGTTTCGTATTTCTATATATTAAAATAATATAAAGTATAGTGTCTTGTATTTCTTCTTCATTAATATATAGTGTTTTTTATTTTTTTCGTCATTAATATATAGTGTTTCTATATATTAATGCGTTGTTCATTTATACCGATTAAGTGTTGATGGCCTAGCGGTTATGTAGTCAGTATCGTTTTGCCACGTCATCAAGCGATGGATTTACGTGTCATCTGACGTGGAATCCACATCGACGGAGAGTTAACAGCGTTACACATTTAACACGTTTTTGTATTATTCAGCATGAAATGAAATCTCCAGGTACTAAATTCAAATTTACAATAAGTCCACGTATGATCTAGCACAATGACAAGTCAACTATATGAAATTAACATACCTAGATAGTCCAGGTATGAAAAAGCCCATTCCACACTTTTACATCCAAATTGGGTTTTTGGCCTCTTCCATAATCCATGTTCATTTAGTGCATAATATGTTATTTATAATTAATAAAAATTAAAGATAAAGAAAAAAGAAATTTACATAATGTTAACATATAATTTATTTTCATGGTAATAAATAAATAATTAAAAATAAAATATGTAAAATAAATTAAATTTAAAATACTAAAACCAATACTATGAGAATTTTATTAGTAATAATAGTATGATTCAAACTCTAAACAATAACAAACTTTTAAATAATCATACTTTGGAATTTTAAATTTGGTAATGTGTTTTAAAATTTAAGTAAATTTTAAATGCATGGTAGAATAATACAATTTTTTTTTTAATTTTACTTTTATAATTTTAAAGAGGAAAAATAAATTTAAAGTGAAACATAAGTTCTAAAAAATATATTACATATTTTTTAATTATTAAATTTAAACTAAAAACAAAAGATTACTAAACTCAATTTAAAATACTCTAAGACGAAAATATTTGAAAGGTCACACTTTATGCCGTGAATTTCTATTAGGAATATAAAAATTATAAAAACATTATTATCCATATTCGAAAATAAAAAATAATTAATTATCATATTATTCATGAGTTTTACAATAAAATATAGATAAAGTGATATGTAAGCCGTAAACTGATATGTAAATTGTATAGCATATCTCAAAAAGAAAGTTTACTTATTCTCAAGTAGTATTATACCTTTCTAACATAATCTAAAAGAAAAACAAGTTTGATATCCCATGATTTAAATCAAATGCTTTTAACCCAAAATGGACTATTATTAATTAAGGAAGAAATTGTTATGATATGTCTTAAAAAGCAACTCACCCTTCAATATATATAGTATACTAGAGTTAATAGAAGGTAGAAATAAACTAGACGTCGAGAGGTAACGAGTGCATTATAGAGGATCACAAAAGAATTAGTAGTTAAAAGCGATTGAATATAAATGAATATAACTTAAAAAGATAATGTATATGACTAAATTTTGAAATATTTGAGATCTCATTTATTGTGTGAAATGAAGAAACTCAAGACATACTACTAGATTCAAATTCGGGCTTAACCGTTAGTTATAGAAATGAGATAAGATAGACAAATTCAGGACTTGGTCGAGAGTTCTCTTTTACCACATTGCACTTTTTCCGATGGATAAAGCAAGTTCGGTAAACCTACTCTAGCGACATGATATTATATATGTATCTTTACACTTAATGATGTATATGAGGCTTGGTAAATTTGTGTTATATATAGAGGTGTTATATTTGTATCAACATCTAATCATAAAGGATATCTACAATTAGGATCATGAGCTGGTTGTTGATGCAATTTACTCTTCTCGCAAATCTATTCAAGTAATTTTTGTTACCATGTAATAATATTAAAACATTTATTTGTCAAGAAAACACTATCGCCAACAATATATATGTTGTATATCGCTTAAAATTTTAGTTTAGTGTTTAATTATATAGCTTTTATCTTTTAAAATTTGAATGATTATAGTTGTGCTCACGGATTAATATTGATAGAAGAGGTTTTAAATTAAAATCCCGCGCGTTAAAGATTAATATTGATAGAAGAGGTTTTAAATTAAGTCCCCGCGCAACGCGCGGGTACACTATCTAGTGGAAATGTAGTTTTAAGTATAGTTGCTAATAAATTGATTTTATTAGTTTAATAATAAATATATTATTAGTTTAATTTTAAGTATCTTTCATGTGTTGCTCTGGTAATGATGGTCTTAGTACTATTTATAATGGTTTTGAACTATTATCTAAATTTTTTTACCTTATGTAAATGTTCTACATATATTTTTTCTTTTATCGTTTGAGTTATATACGTCCGTTTTCAAAAAATTAAATTGCAAAATGTGTGGAAAAAATTGTATTTTATTATAAATATATTTAATGTAATAATATAAATTAAAAACAAATAAGATTATATAAATATATTGGAGAGAGATTCGATTTATTAGAGAGAGACATTTTTGGAAATATTTTTGATGTAATAAATATTTGTTTCCAATTTTATGATTTGTTTGTGATTTAATTACAAAATTTACTTTTAAGTTTTGTTATTTATTCAATTAGCAAGGGTTTGATTATGCAAATATTATAAACCTAAATAGATTTTAGTACCAAAATGTACTTCAAAAATGTATATATAGATTTATATACACCTAAAAATGTGCATGACAAGTTTACACAATTAGGAATGAACAATGGCATTGGCATGGCCATGGCCGAGCAACATCTGCAAATTCAAGTTCTCATTACCAGACAACAAATAGGAAGGAATCAACATAAAACCATCTTCGGGATGTTCATTCTTCACTTTCTGAATGTTCTTCAACATGAATCCTTGCTTCAGTAAGTTATTAACAGTTATCTTCGCCAGACTGCATGAGAACTTACCCACTCCGGGTACCGAAGGTGCGATACAGCTAACACTGACATACACAGCGTACAAAGCCTTGAAAACTTGAACTACAATCATATGCCCATTGTTTTCTTCCTGTAGAATTGTGGTCTTCTCATTGAGGTCCAAGCTAATGGTTAAACGAGTGTTCCACTTGAACGGGATCATATCGTCTTTGTGTTCAGCACGGGCGTGGTTGTTGAGATACTTGTAATAGCCAGTGTAGTTACAGTTACGTATGGGGCAGGAACAAGGGGCGTAAACACAGAGCTTCTCGTGGCTATATCGGTTTCCGTAGGAAGTATTCTCTTTACACCCGTATTTGGCATTCGGACATGAGACTCTCGATGCTTCTATAACTTTCTCCATGGCTCTGCATCGAACGTAACCAATGGGTAATGTGCATGACGGACATCTGTTCCTCACTTTGGTGCAGCACAGAGAACAAGCCAAATGACCATTATCACACTGAACACAGAACCACATAGTTATTGCCAACGGTTCTATTAGCATAGTCCTATTTTCTCACGATAACACTCATCAACGGGAAATAAATATCAACAAGTAGTAAGAACACTAGCATCGGTGAAACTCTATGGCATAGAACCACATATTAGCTTATACGAGATACAATCACCATCTCACTGTGAAAACGTCCTGACCTGTAAGCGATTCAAATGGTTTCCAAGTTTGCAATTATACCTTTACTTCACCATTGAAGCAAAAGGGCTTATAGTGCTAGAGAACATTTTCTCAATTGCAGCAGAACTTGAATCAATAAGTCTTCATTATAATCTATCTCCTTAATCTACGCATGTAATGGCTCCTTTAACAATCAAATTTCACTTGTTTCCTCAATCTAACACAAGTTAAGGCTTCTCTATGTTCACAGTGATAACTCTAAACCTAAAAAAGGATTGTGAAATCAAAGTGGTTCAATAAGCAAACCTGAAAGATGGGAATCTTCAATGGTTCACAGCAAATAGGGCAATCAAGAACATCTGGATCCAACAACGTTACAGAAAGAGGCGAACTCTGACTATTTACGAATTTACCAAATCGTCTCTCCTCAATCACAGCTTCGCGATCGCTTTCATCGCTCGTGGATCCTCCTCGATCATCAGATTCCGTTCGCCTTCCTCGATTCTGTGTTTCTTCTTCGTCTTCTTCTTCACCGGAACTTCCGGGGTCCGAGCTCTCCACGTTTTCTTCATCTTCGTCGATTGAAGGAAGCCGTTGTCTTTTCCGGGATTGATGATTGTTGTTGCTTGGTCCTTCTCCGTCGTCTCCTCCGCAAACTGAAAATCTCGCCATCGCCGGATCGGAGGATTAAGTCAGATCTACGATTTTTCTGAAGAGAGATGATAGTTTTGGTCGAGATGTAAATTTGTGGTTTAGACTTTTGGGCATCAAAATTCATACCAAACCGAATTGAACCGGTTTTTGAGGAGAGGGCCTCAAGAGTACATTTTTTCATGCGTCCTTAAAAATCTTCTAAAAATTTAATTATTTTACAAATAGTTTATTTTTTTTCAAACAAATATGTTGATTGTTTTTTTAAAATTTAATTATAAAAAAACTTAAATTCGTCTCTTCTAATTTACAGTTACTTTTAATTATTTAAATTGAGAACCGTTATTCCATTCCATCGAGATGCTCTTATGATTAAATTTTAAAATGTGGCTTTTTCAGTTACTATATCTTTTTATACAGCTTAGCTAACAAACTATCATCTAAAATTTTTGGTTAAAATAAATTTAATAAAGATATAAAAATTGTACAATATTTTTTGTATACATCGAAATATATTTGTTAAATCTGACATCAATAATTTTGATAGGATGTAGCCTAAGGCAAATGCCCAATTCTTTAGTTAGTAAGCACAACTTTGGTTAATGATCAATTGGAGTTCCAGGCATGTGTTGCTTATTTTGTTATATTATTCAATCTTTCTTCACGAATGGTCTACGAGAGTTAAACCATATGGAAATCCGACGCTTGAACTGCGGAAGAGTGATAGAATATAGTATATGTAACTATTGTGAGAAAACTTTGCAACAGTTTTGTTATTAAAGCCTTATATTGATGAATTCTCTCAAGGGGAATTAATTTACTTTATTAACTTACATATTATTTTTATCAATAGTCTATACAAGTTTGTCATATCATTATGGAATATGATTGATCTTGTACTCTACCAAATGACGAAACACCAATCATGGGAGATACAAATCTAAGACAAAATTGGACATTTTTGCATACTTATTTGAGTGATAAAATATTTGAATGTTGAACATAAGTTTAAGGTAATTCTCCTAACCAACTGCTCAAAACTAGTACATTAATAAAACTTTAGATGCACAAATAAAAAGCAAATGCGACCCAACTTGCCATAGTTGGGCTAAAGCATAAGTGCATCATGATGTCCGAATCCGTTCTAACTTCTACCAAAAGTTATGTTATTACATACTAGTTTAGTGCACGTAACATTTTTGCATTGCTAATGTTAAAATTGGATTTAAATGACTTTTGTAATACATTGGGCCAAATTATATGTTGTTAGGCTCCTCAAATGGCCCGTTTTGAGCAGCCCATTGGCCTAAAGGAAATAGACTAAATTTCGAAAATTCTAAAAATGAAAGGAAATCAAACACGAACCCTAAAAGTTTGGGGGATTTTTGTTTTCAATTTGATCATCATCAGGATTCAATAGCTTTTCAAGTTGGTAATGAATTAGAAATTTTTTCCATATGGGTAATTCGAAAACTCGATCTTGTAGTCTAATCTTGTGAAATGGAGGAGAAGCTCGCGAGGAGAAGAAGAGTAGTGTTGGTTCCAGCTCCAGCTCAAGGACATATAACTCCAATGTTGCAACTTGCAAGAGCACTTCACTTTAAAGGTTTCTCTGTTACAGTTGCTCAAACCAAGTTCAACTACTTAAACCCTTCAACTGATTTGTCTGATTTTCAGTTTGTAACCATCCCAGAGACCTTACCAGAGTCTGATCTTAAGAATCTAGGACCAGGACGGTTTCTGATTAAATTAGCTAAATAATGTTATGTTAGCTTTAAGGAGTTGTTAAGTCAGTTATTAGTTAATGAAGAAGAAGAAGAGATCGCTTGTGTTATCTACGACGAGTTCATGTACTTTGTTGAAGCAGCTGTTAAAGAGTTTAAGCTTCGTAACGTTATTTTAAGTACTACAAGTGCATCAGCTTTTGTTTGTCACTTCGTAATGTGTAAACTCTATGCTAAAGATGGTTTGGCTCACCTCAAAGGTAATATGATTCTACTATTTTGAGTTCAAACTCGTTTAATATGTGTTTGCGTTTAACAACATGATTTTGTAGAAGGGGATGGGCGAGAAGAGGAGCTAGTACCAGAGTTAAATCCTATACGGTACAAAGACTTGCCAACTTCAGTATTTGCATCAGTAGAGTGTTCCGTGGAGTTGTTTAAGAATACATGTTATAAAGGAACAGCTTCCTCTATGATAATCAACACAGTGAGGTGTCTAGAGATGTTATCCGTGGAGTGGCTTCAACAAGAACTAGAGATTCCGGTGTTTCCTATAGGCCCTCTTCACATGGTGGTTACAGCTCCTCGTACGAGTCTTTTAGAAGAGAACGAGAGCTGCATAGAATGGTTGAACAAACAAGAATCAAGTTCTGGGGTATACATAAGCTTGGGAAGCATGAGTTTGATGGAAACTAAAGAAGTGTTGGAAATGGCTTCGGGTTTGGTTAGTAGTAACCAACACTTTTTGTGGGTGATCCGACCAGGATCCGTACTTGGTTCTGAAATGTCTGAGGAAGAGTTGGTTAGGAAAATGGTAACATTAGATCGAGGTTACATTGTGAAATGGGCACCGCAGAAGCAAGTGCTTGCACACTCCGCGGTTGGAGCGTTTTGGAGCCATTGTGGATGGAACTCGACTTTAGAAAGCCTTGGTGAAGGAGTTCCAATGATATGTAGACCTTTTACAACTGATCAAAAAGGGAACGCAAGCAGGGGCGGACCCAGGAAAAAAATTAATTGGGGGCAAAAGGTAGCAAATGAGGTTTGAACCCATGACCTTAAACAATACATGGGGGCACTTTAACCATTTTGACACTTATAACTTTAATTTTAATGCAAAATTTTTAGTTTTTAATAGGTTGGTGGGTGCAACTGCCCCCACCTTCTTCTATGTGGGTCCGCCCCTGAACGCAAGGTTCTTGGAATGTGTATGGAGAGTAGGGATTCAAATAGAGGGCGGTATAGAGAGAGGAGCGGTCGAGCGAGCTGTGAAGAGGTTAATGGTTGATGATGAAGGTGTTGAGATGAAGAGAAGAGCTTTAAATTTGAAAGAGAAACTCAAATCCTCTGTTTTGGCTCAAGGCTCTTCACACAAGGCACTTGATAACTTCATTAACACTTTATGAACGTATGAGAATATCAATGTCTAAAGATATCTAATGGGCCAATTATATCTTATCGAGATTTCGATTGGGCCGTAATAAGCCTAGATCCACTAAGCCCGTTAACGTCAAGGAAGCAAATAATTGAATCGAACACGAACCCTAAAAATTTGGGGTTTCTTTTTTCAATTTGATCACGATTTAGTATTGGATAAAGAAGAAGACATGAAGAATCACATTGAAGAGCCAAGCACTGCACCAGATCCTAACCGTTGGTACAACATTACATTAGGACCATCACTACTCAGCAACAATGACTCAGTCTCTCCCAAGTTCTGCACTTTACGATGTAAGTAGAACATTGCTTCAATTCACTTTCTGGGTTTGTTCTGTTTCCGAGATTGAATTGAGAAATGTGAATTTTTTGGTTTGTAGATGAGTTTAAACCGGCATCAATTGATTATACCAAACCAGGATCGTTACATAAGAGTAAAGACAATAAGGTTACGTTAGAGTTTCAAAACAATCAACACAAAGTTAGATTTGATGGTGTTAGTGAGCATTACAATGACAGAGATAAAGATGCAATTTTCTTGTTTGATGGCGAAAATTTTCGATTGGAGAAGCTTCACAGAGCTGTTAAGCGTTTGAAATACTTGCGTGTTCCTGATGAATCCTCTGTTGGTGGTAGTAGAGTAGTTACAGAGGTTGGTCATCCAGTTGCAGATACGGTTAAATCGGTATATAAGTCTTTTTTCGATCTTTGGTTCGTTAACGAAACGGTTTTCGGGAAGTTGTAATCAGATTTGTGTTTGTTACTTCAATGTTGCAGGTTAATATGACACATATTGACATTAACAATCCTGTTAGCTTAGGTATAAAGATTTCTACTTTGGCATGTTTCATTCACATTAATGTCTTTGGTTTGTATTCATGTATGTTTGTGCTTGGATTCAGACATAGATGTGTGTGTGTGTGGTTGGAAGTGAACTAAATTTTGTATACTTGTAACAGAACAAGAAAACGAAGATGATCCATGTTCATTTGCTACTAATCGTGCTGTCGATGAACTCGAGGAGGATGTGAACATTGATGATGAAGAAACAGCAAGGGATTTTCAAACTGGTGGACTTGATATAGACATTAACCTTCCGCATCCTACTGAAATGGAGGATGATGAGATTGCTGTTGTAGACATTAATGATGATGAATCCTACAAAGGACTTAACGCAGCAGAAGCACTCAGAGCGCAAGTAAATGCAGAAGCGAGAGAGGAGTCTCGAAAGAGTTCAAGTTCAGGCAGTGGTAGAGATAGTGAGAGCAGTGAAAGTGGAGTTGAGAGTAGTGTTAGTGGAAGTAGTAGTAGTAGCAGTGAAAGCAGAAACAGTGGTAATGAAGATGGAACCGCTAGCGAGAGCTAGTCTCTGGATCAGATATGTATGTATTTTCTAGTATATGTCGTTTTGATGTTAAGTCTTCTTGTAAACAAGATATGGAAATACAGAGATATAGCAAAACAGTTCTGCAGGGTCGAAGTTAAACATGGAATTACAACCTCATTCTGGTTTGATATGATTGGGAGCAGAGGCTACATTGATCTAAGAATCTCGTCACAGGCTACGGTTGATTCAGCTAAGGTCAATCATCATCGTCCAAGGAGACATCGGATATATAACTATAACCAGATTGGAAAGATGAAATCAAAAAGATTATCACAAGATGAAGATAAACACAAGAAAAGTTCAGCACAAAGGAGACAAAAAAAGTCTGGTTAGTATTCCTCACTGTGTAAAGACTGGCATAGGGTTTGTGGTTGTCGCGGACGTGTTTGTGGAGATCCTTAATGAAGCCTGTATAGTTGCAGCCACCCATTGGACATGAATAATGTGCAAAAAGACACATCTCCTCATGCCTAGAGAGATTTGCATATGAGATAATCTCTTTACACCCGTAAATGGCATATGGACATGACACTGTAACTACTTCAAGAACTTTCTCCATGGCTCTGCAACGAAGTTGTCTCCCAACCAGTTTTTGACAAGATGGGCATATGTTCTCTATTCTTTCCCAACATGGAGTACAAGCTAGATGACCACTAACACACTGTAAGAAGTTTAAGAACCAGTGTTATATGAACAGTTACACTCACAGAGAAGAAAGAAAGAGAAGAGAATTAGTAAGTAACCTGGTATATAGGAATCTTGAGGGGCTCGCAGCAAACAGGGCATTCGAAAACATCTTGATCCACCACCGCGACAGAAGCAGGAGCCGATATTTTTCCGGCTAATCTTGTTTTTCTATGCATATCCTTAAGCTTGTCTTGTCTTAACTTCAACATGTAGGTGATCAATAAAATAGTAGCATAAGCAAATAATAATAATGAAAAGGAACCGATTATTAATATGTCAAAGGAAGTAAGATCAGTAAACTCCATCATCAAACTTGAAAATTGGATTCATGTAAGAATTTCAAAAGCTCTCTGTATTTCTTATAAGTGATTTGCTCGAGGAACTTAGCATATGAGTCCTTCGGGTTTAGAGCTTTAGGGTTTTCATGTAAGTATATTTGTATACATGGGCTGTGTTTATATTTTTATAAAAATATTTAAATATTACATAATATTCAAGATAATGCAAATATTTTTTAAGATTAATTTATAATTGACTAATTTATTTTATATATATTCTTTTTAATTTTTTATTCTTTAGATCTAATTTTTATAATTTTATTAATAATTTTATTTTATAATTATTATTTTTTCCATTGTTAAATTTTCTGAATATTTTTTTTTCTATTTTAAAAATATTTTTCTTTTTTAAACTAATTTATATAATTTTTTACTACTAATTATTTGATATGTGTCAATATTTTATTAATTTAATTAACACGTGTCACGATTTTGTTAATAACTAACTTTGAAAATCTAATTTTATATAATAAGATATGAAAATTCTCGTTTAGAAAAAATATTATATTTATTGTCAGAAAAATACGTACATTATTTTATGTAAAGAAATTAGTGTTTTTACCGGTTACAAGATATGAACGAGTATTTTTTTTTTAAAATGTTGATTTTGTTTTTTTCTGAATTCGAAATGTTTTTAGTTTGGTGCTAAAACGCAGCCGTTTAATCAAAGTTCTATTACTTCCTGTTTTAAATAATTTCTCTGGTTCTTCATTTCTCCCATTTGTACGGAGAACGATGATGGCTCAAGCTTCACTGAATTTTCAGGTGTCTCCTTCTTTCTCAATCCTCAAACCACTAATTCACTCTCACTCTCTCCAAATCTCGAAGAATCAAAAACTAAACTCGCGACGAAGATGCTTCTTACGATGCGCAGCTTCTTCTCCCGACGGAAGCAAAACCTTAAGAACTTGCAAAAACTGCAAAACCCAATTCGATCCTCTCCTCAATCACCCTCGCGCTTGTAGATTCCACACTGCTCATTTCGCAGGTATAATTTGAAAAATTTGCTCTCTAATTTGGGAATTAGGTTTAGTTAGAAATCAAGGGTTTGAAGAAATTTTGCATTTTTTTTTTGGTTTAGGTGAGACATTTGCTCTTTAATTTGGGAATTAGGTTTAGTTATAAATCAAGGGTTTGAATAAATTTTGCATTTTTTTTGGTTGAGGTGAGACGTTTGTTCTTTAATTTGGGAATTAGGTTTAGTTATAAATCAAGGGTTTGAAGAAATTTTGATTTTTTTTGTGTTGTTTAGGTGAGACAAAGAGGAAATTTGAAAGTGTATACAGTGGTGGAACAATGGATACACCAAATTCAGGAAAAGTGTTACAGTATTGGCATTGTTGTGGATCTGAAGATCCTTTTGATTCTGGTTGTACTGCTTCTCCTCATACCACATATGATGATTGATTGATACAAGTTTCTTTACTAATGAGATTGTTATGAAGAAGAAGGAGAAGGAGAAGGAGAAGGAGATAGGAAAAGAATATATAGTGTAAAGGTTACCTTTTCTTGCAGAGAATCAGAATCTTTTATTTGTATCCTTTGGATTTAAGTCTTCTCCGTAATCACATTATCTCCATGTACAAGACACCTTTTTTAATATATGATTCTTGTTTTGTTAACTTGTAACTTTGCTTCTCAAGTTTCCTGTTAAGTTTGCTTTGATGTTATGTTATGTCTGTCTTCTTTTTGCTTAATGTTCATTGTTCATCTCCTGGTGATTTGTTTTGATTTGCAGATTGATTTTTTCTGACATTTGGTTTGAATCATTATTGGAATTTTCTTGTTTTGTTTTGCTGGTGGTAAGAATTCGGATGGGAGATCATTTAGTGTTGGTGGTTGATAGATTATCAAGAGATTCTGGTCTTGTGGCGGTAAAGCGAGCAGATATTAAAACTGACTTGGTTAACAAAGATGGTACATCTGAATCTGTATCTGCAGGAGCTGATTTATGTGAGAGTAAATTTGAACAATGTAGGATTTGTCATGACGAAGATGAAGATTCCAACATGGATACGCCTTGTTCTTGTTCTGGAACATTAAAGGTGCTGTCTTTGTTTTCCGGTTGTTTTCGATAAACAGGATCTCTGTCTAAACTTTAAATTCGTAACCTCAATGATTCATTCATCAACTCTTTGCAGTTTGCACATCATGATTGCGTCCAGAGATGGTGCAATGAGAAAGGTGACACCATATGCGAAATTTGTCGTCAGGTATAGTCTCTTGATTCTTTCTCTGTTTTGATGAAGTGATCTCACCAGACCTTGTTCAAATTGCAGCAATATAAACCTGGTTACACAGCTCCTCGACACTTGTTTCACTACACAGGCATTTCTATGAACTTTAGGTACTTTTATTCATCTTGCTTTGATATCCTCCTTTGTTTCTCTGCGCAATGTAGTAAACCTGCTGAGAATCATTCTCTTTGTTGGAAATGTCCCAGGAACGATTGGGGAATCGAGGGACTCGATTTTCGTAATCCTTATTTTCTAACCTGGGATGCAGCTGATGATCATGACCTTTACTCATTTCATAGCCCCACAAGCTTAATATGTTGCCGCCTAATTGCCTTGCTAGTATGCTTCTTCTCTCTGTCCTTAAGAACACATAGATCTAAAATTCTAATCGAACACGCAATAAGATTTTCATCTTGATGTCCAGTTTGTCCTTCTGCTATTCTTGCGCCACTCTCTTCCAGTTTTACTAGGTGGAGTCGATGATTTCTCGTTAACTTTTCTCATGGTAAGCTCGATTATAGAAACTACTCAAACATACATATTTCCTCTATTTCCCTGATCTTGAGAAAGATCTTGTTGTCTTTTGCAGTTACCATTAGTGAGAACATTAGGAATCTTACTGATTGTATATCTATTTGTCAAGACATTCATTGCCATACAACATTGCAGGCAAGAGAGGGTGAGAAACAACATTCTCTGAATTCTGAAAATTAAAATATCATTCTTGTTGAAATATCGAAACCTACAACATGTTTTGCTATACAACTTGTTCTTTTATTCTCTGTTTGTTGCATAATTAGGATACAAGACTCTCTGGTTTCTCGTCTGATGAAGAAACTGCACCACCTCGGATAGTGATGGCATTGCCGGAAAGACCCGAGCTTTATGTTCCTGTAAACTAAGATGATCAATATTCAATATAACTTCTCCTTATACATGTTGTTTGATTTGTATACAACTATATTCATAGAATCAATGTTGGTATTCCAAGTTTGATTAGATCGAAGATGTTGCGAAATACGTGATTGAAAGATTATCAAAGTAAATGTTGATCTTCCAATTTCCATCTACAATAGATGATCTTAAAAGGAATAAACGAAGCAACAAAGAAGAGTTGTAAAATGGAAACTCTTAAACAATAACAACAGCTAGCTGACAGATTGTGGTCGATTCACATGCTCCCACCAATCTCGTAGTCCTTGCACTTTGTTGCATAGGTCCTTTCCATACATATGGACAACCTGGTGCAATCATGACGGCTACAAAACAAAGCAAACAAGGGAGACCGAGGTACAATAGAGCCAAGTGAGGAGAAATCGAATAGAGGAGGCCGAAGAAAACACAAAAGCCGGACGTGTGACAGATGCCTCCTATCGAGTAAGCGTTGGACGCTAAGACGACATTCTCGATTGCCTTATACCAACAGATGCAGCTAAGTAGTAAACAGTGGAAACCATCAAAGTTGATAAAAGTAATCCAGATTTGCTTAAGGGAATCTTGTGAGTTCTCATATACACGATCGCTTCAATGTTAAGAATGAATATGATACTGCTCATATATGGCAACATCGTATCTTAGGTTCTTGTTCATCCTACAACCAAAACATATAAGTATATTATAAGGAGTTTCTATATTTAAACTTCTGTTACCTAAATGAATACATGATAAAAAAATAAAATCATTGATATGTAGTTTTATTGAAATTTTGAAAAATACCTCTTTTAACATATTATCAATCTATTTTCAAAAATACTTCTTTTTAAAATTGAAAAATTATGAAGTTTTAAATGTTTTATAAGGTATGAAACTCAATTAACTTATCATTGTAATAGCTTGATTATATATTTGGTTCATAAGATGTCTATTCATTATATATAATGGTAAGATATGATATGACATATGTTTTGCCCTTTCTTATGTTTTGGTTGTTCTTATTTTTCTAAATTTTTAGGTCCATTCGAAGTATTATTATGGTTATGAAGTGTTACTCATTATTTTTAGTGAATTTAGCTATGTTAGAGCATTTTAATCTATGAGTGGTGGAGCATTTCAAAGTATTATTATGGTTATGAAATGATATTAACTTAGGTCAGTAATATATATTTATATAATTATTTTCGTGAAGGAGAATAAAGATATTATAATATTTGCGTGGTGGAGAACATCAACTATATAAATGTTATTTGAAAAATTATTTTTCAAGTGTGTTCCTTCATATTTGCTTTTCACAAAGTATTTTTCATTCATTTGTTTTAAATAAAAATAAATTTATTCAGCTACCCATTTTTCATAATATATATAAGAATTTAACTCTCCTTTAATTGGTCCAATTGACATCTATTTTGTAACACAATTTAAATTGTATTAAATGGTAACAATAAAAATTCACAAATTTTGTGTCATGAGTTTAACATGTAGACTTCATATTTCTTAGTATTCAGTTTTGTTTTGTAACATGTCAAACATTTCCAATATAAATTTATCGTCAATATAATTGACTTTCTATTTCTTCCATTTAACTTTGTTTTGTAACATTTCTCCCAACTTTTACAATATTAATTTAATTTAAAGTACTTATGTATTAAAAAAAATGTATGAAAGTTGTCTTGAATTGTCTTAGAATTAGCCATTATGCTTATAACACAAAAGAGAGTGACATAACTACAAATAAATATTCACTATTCATATTCTTCATTTGTGTTGTCTATCTCTTATAATCATCATTTTTACAAAATTTTATGGTCTCATGTAATATTTTACATTTATTTTAAAAGTAAATTATCATTTTTAATGTATACTTAATCATAGAACATTGCATATTTTATAATTTTATTTTTAACCCACGTGGGACTCTCACTAGTTATGATATATAGGAGACTAGAATTTTAAGGTAACATAAACTGAAAAGATTATATGGCTCTAACATAGTTTTCGAACACATTGACATGTAACCTCTTGTCGTAAAGGAATGTCAAAATATAAAAAGCTTTTTTTTTGTTTTTTTTGTTATGCAAATATATTGTTCCAATACAATACAACCTAAAAGTGAGATGAAAAATAAATAAGCCAATGATTATACAAGTGACATGAATCATTCCAAAATAAATCATTTGGTTAGTTTAAAGCTTACGTAATTAGCACTTTCATCATCTTAATGATCTTCATGTGATTGGTAATCACATGCAGAAATTTGTTTCAAATATTTTAGCACACCACTCAAATTATTAGGCAACAAGCATTTATTTGGTCCCAACGTATATTATTTAAATCTCCCAATACAAAACAAAAAGTTGGTTAAAACAAAAAGAAACAAAAAACAGTTTGTAGCAAACTATTTGGATTTTTGTGTCATATTTTAAAAGAAAATTATACTCCATGCCATGTAACAGTATCAAATGTTTTATAGATTGCCACTTTCCTTAACTTCTTCTCCCGCCTGCCATAAAACAAAAATAAAAATACTCTCTTACCCTTCTTTTTTTTTCTCACAAAAGAAAACAATAAAATATTGTTTCTTTTCTTTCTCCACATCTCCAGCATTTACTTTTCCTGCATTTTTTCTTTTCTCTCTCTCAATATCTCTTTCTCTTTGGTTTCAATTTTTTTCTTCATGAATATCTCACACTAATGGTAACATCTAATGGAGGCCAAAAGGTTGGAGAAAAAAATTGTTTCGACCACAACGATGAACAACGATGCTTTCACTGTATGTAGGTATGTGGTTCACGTTGGTGACCAAATCAATTTCACATCCACGTTTTGTTTTTGTCTTTCAATGGACCAGATCTGTGAACCGGAACCGATAGACCAAACTTGTCCATCCTACAAATTTCATAAAACCACAACTGATTGACCAGAGGATGAAACAAGTAATGCATCTATTGAAGACGTCATTTACGATCCATAGAGATTTACACTTTGGATATCACATTTGTGTAGAGATGGACTAGATCTGGTAGACTAGATCCGGTAGACTAGATTCAGTGGACTAGATCCGGTGGACCAGATCCGATGTATGTAATATATCCATTTTTGTTTCTTAATTTGTTGTCTATCATACTATATAGCAAACTCAGTCCAAATTTTTCATAAACGAACTTGCCTATAATACATATGTTAGATGGATGAACAAAAAAACATGTCCACAATCGATGGACCAGATCTATTGCACATATCATGTCCATAAACATAGTTGTCCATATATAGCATTTACTACCTATCTATTTTTATTTGTCCTACGCGAGTTAAAGAAAGCTTATGCAATCCTTGCCTGAGTACAATAGCCTACTCACCCCGAATCGGAGGACAAGTAGTGGAGAAATCCCTCGGAACCGTCAAAGTAAGCTTTCGATGGACCATATCTACTTTATATATTTTGTCCATCATATAAAACTTTATTTGTGTCCTTTTTGACATTGTTTTATAGATTGTCTATCGACTATAGTGCACACATCGATAGGCAAGTGGACATCCCTACACATCATTGATTATCTTCTCTTGTCCACCGTAATTAAGCTGTTAAACTCAGAAATCGCTACTCCTTCTTCACCACCCACACCGTCCACAAAATATATTTCTACTTGTCCTCCATTAACACTACCTAGATATGCTTTTGCAATTTCTTATTTTTGTTTTGTTTTTATCACCCACTAAAACATTTGTCCTCTGGATATTAGCATACATTGTAGCATTTAATGCTACTGTTGCCAGTCCAAGAAAAACATCTCATCATCACCCACTTCAAATTGGTGAGGGCAAAATCGTCACACAATAAATATTGTGGCATGTTTTGAAAGAAGAGAAGAAAAATGGCAGTTTTAAACTTTTGAGTTTTGAAAAGGGCATATCCCACAAAATTCCCATATTTTAATTTGCCATCAGTCTAGACACAAAACATGTTATAGCAAACTACTATGTTCTTATCTTTCCCTCTTGAAACTACTCATACTCTTCTTAATTCTTAATTCCAAATATGTACACGAGAAGTGATATATACAATGACAAACATAAATATAAACTCCTACGCAATTAATAGTAAATCCTTATTAAGTATTCTAATTAATTTAAAGCGTTAATCAAAAGAAAGTAAAAAAAGAGAGAAGAAGATTAATTCAACTATCTATTAAGGTACCGACAAAGTCTATAGAGCATTTGATAAACGTATCAAACGAAGTATGTGGTTGCTATTCATAGACCAACTAGTATTTAAGGGAGCCTTGTTTCATCAGTACCAATTCGACAATACAAATCTTATAACTCCCAACATATACATTTTGCATTCAAACAAGTGATCAATCAAAAGATGGAAGGCAAAACTGTGATTTTAAGTGCGCTCATAATGAGTCTTGTCATGGCGCAGATTCACGTCGAAGCAAAGAGTTGTTGCCCGAACACGACTGCTAGAAACTGTTACAATGCATGCCGTTTTCCTGGAGCTCCTAGGCCAGTTTGTGCAAGCCTCTGCGGATGCCAAATTGTCGGAGGGTCAACATGTCCTTCGGGATATACACAAGACATTCTTGAAAACTCTGGTACTTTAGTTTTGTTTTTTCTTTGTTCTTTCATTTAAGTTATATCTTTTACAAGTTGGACCAAGATTTTGATGCAAGTTTCAAAAACTGTTTTATGTTTTTTTTTATTATTATTTAAGGTAATGCTGTCAACGAATACTGCAAGTTGGGTTGTGCATCCTCTGTGTGTGGTGCCCTAACCACTCTCCATAACTCCGGTAACGCAAAAAACTTATTATGATTATTTTTAGATTTATAGAAAAAGAGAAAAAACATATTAATTCTAATATTGTGTGTGGATGATTTAGATGCAAGTGAAATTGTGAATGGAGCAGCTGTACAATGCACCAAGGCATGTTCTGAGTTATGTACCAAGGGCTCATCCAATGCAGTTGAAACTGCATAAGAAGCATATCCATGATCTATGTGTTGTTGTTTTCAATAATTTTCAATAATTGTCGTGTATGTGACAAAAATGCTAGACACTTGAGCTAGTCTTCTAAATAAAGAATATAATAATGTGTCCTTATAATCAAAACAAACTCTCACTTTAACGTAATTATCTTACAATCACTTCGTATCTTGACAACAACAAATGACAACTTAGCAAAACTGTCAAGATATATAAATCTCAAATTATATTTCTATTATAAGCATATAACACCTTGTATGAACCATTCAGAATGCAACCGATAGGTTAAAGTAATGAAAAACTTTATAGTCTATCTATTTTTCATCATGATTGCTAGAGTAATAAGTAATAATAACCCAATAGATTTTAACCTCAAGGGAACGGTGAAATTCTTGGTAACTATATTTTATGGGCCAAATCCACAAGGGACCGAATGATTACACCAAATACTTATAAGAGTGTTTTAAAGCTAAAGTTAAAGTCAAGGAACTTTGCAAAGATAAATTAATTAATGAATTGGGTAGAAATACAATACAAACTAAAAGTGAAATTGGGAAATAAATAAGCCATGAACTATATACCAACAATAGTCAAGTGATTTTGAGTTTAGAGCGCTTATGTAAATCAGCACTTTCATCATCTCAATGATCTCATGTTATTGGTAATTT